CCACTAGTTCAAATTAAGTGGCTACACAGCCCTTAATTCGAACTAGCTAATTCGAACTAGGCATTAGTCCTCGTAAAATGAGTTTTACCTAGTTCGAATTAAGCGCTCCGCTAGTCCGAATTAAGTTCGAACTCGCGGAGCGCTAGTGTAGCGCCTATCAAAGTTAATTATGTGTAGCGTCTGTTAGTTCGAATAAACTTTGTAGTGTAGACATACCCATGGTGACTGCCCTGCAGCAAGGGATAATTTCTTATGGCTCTGGCTGCTATTAGAACTTGTATTTAAATGACCTTCTGGAGATGCCCTGCTATACTCTGGGTCCTGAGAAGGACAGAGGCCTCACTTGCATGCAGGGACTCTCTTGTAAGAGTACTGGGCCCCCAAGGAGACTGCCATGTTGCTGGCTTTTTAAGGCTGAAAAGTCCAGGCTATCTGATCTTCTTTCTTTTCCAGATGTCATTCCTTTACCTCCTTTTCGTATCGTAATCTGCTCCCCAGGGCTTCATTTATTCTCAGCTGTTCCCACTTGCAGGCCCATTCACTGAGTATGCAGTCTCTTTTGCACGCTCATGCACATGTGTTCTTATGCTCTCACATACATGTGCATAGGCATTAGCCCCCTATTTGAATGGTTTTGCCAGGGAGGTGCTGTCTCCAGTATTGACTGAACAGGGAACGACTAATTCTGCCATAAGGGAAAAGATGGCTTATAACCTGCTTGCTACCTCTGTTAACTTTTTTGTGTGTCTCATATCCCCTTGCCTTCTCCATCAGTATGGCATCCTTTCAAGATGCCACTCAGCTTGACAGTGCCTCACAAATTGCTGCCCCTCAGAGTGGCAAAGTCAAGCCCCAGCCCTGGGAGTACTCAGTGGGGGAAGGGGACAGAGGAGAGGAAATCACACAGCTGTTGTGTGTAATTGGATTGGAAGTGGGCCTCAGGCTACAATAACCATGTTCATTTCCTAGCTGGCCATACTTCTGGGGCCTGTAAGGAGCCTCTTGGCTGTGAGGCATACCATGGATGAATCCAACAAGAATAGCTGTTTCCTGCCTGGGCGATAGCTCTGCCTGGCTCCAAAAAATGAGCATGTGCACCATTGGCCAAGGGCTCGCTCATCATCAACATAGAGCTGGCCCGTCCAGCAGAAAGCCAGGCTTGAAAAGATTATTTTACACTTCACCACATCCCCTCATCTCCTTCCAGGTGAGACTGAGAGAGAGGCGTTCTCCCCCATCACCATCCCGTCCCTCTGCTTTGCTTGGCATGCTGGGTCTGGGATGAAAGCACTTACCAGGCATCTTTTCTTTTGGGGAAGCCCCCAAGGTCCTGGGTGGACTGTCGTTCTGTTTAGTTCCCAAATCTTAAGGGATGTATATGGTAAGGAGGGGGAGAAGAAGGAGTATCATTCAGAGGGTGTGGGAAATTGTTGCCTCTTCTCCCTAAAAGAAAGGATTGCACAGGGAACTGAGGTGGGAAGATGAGCGAGTGAGTTTGTCCTCTGAAAAGGGTATGTAAGGCACTGATGAAGGAAAAGTAGGGAAATGGATGCCTCACTTGCCAGAGCACACTTCTTCTGCAGGAGCTGCAACTCTTTCATTGGGGTCCCTTGATTATGTGAACTCTTCATGCAGCTCAGTAACAGCTACTGAAACATCCTGGAGCAGAGGGGCTTCCGAAAACATAACAGCCTTGCCTGATGCACATGTTACAGCTGGTCCCATTGTTGATTGAGTGGGCCATAGAAAGTGAAGAGCTGTCTCACTCCTGGGAATAGGAGCTTGATGGACATTGTCCCGTATGATTATGAAAAATTTGGTTTTGGAGAATCAGCATTTTCTTACCCAAAACTCTTTCACAGAAAAATTCCCATCCAGATTTAGTTTGCAACCTGTATGTTGCAGCTCTGCATGGATGCATGGAACTCTAAAAGTCACTCTGTAAAATCAGAAGTAAAAATTGACTGGCCTGTTTTCATTTTCCATGCACAAAAAGTATGTACATAGCTTGTATTGTACAAAATCAGTACAGGTTTGTGAGAGTCTGTCAGTTTTAAATAATCTAAAGTGCGGCTAGGAAGGAAATTTTGTTTTTTAAAAAAAGTTTTGAACCTGCTAGTTCACATTTTGCTTTATGCAAAGGGTAGGGCTGCAACAGAGAGGATCTGTTTTAATTGAAACAAACAAATAATTTCTGTTTACAGTAGGCTAGATTCTGATCTCACACCGGTTTTAAACTGGTAGTGTTCTATTCTGCTACATCTGAATCTCGGTTATGCTGCTAGAAGTCCAGAACACTTTTTGACTTAAATTGTACTCAAGAGGAGACTCTCACTTCAAAGGAGTAACTCTTAATTTTCACTGGAGTAAGGGAGACTGGAATCATATCCGTTTGTGGACCATTCGTAGCATAGTAAGTTAACTTCAGCTGTGTCATAAATGGTGCTGTAAATTACAAATGAGACCTGATTCTCCCTCCATTATATCAGTTTTACACAGTGTAACTCTATAGAAAGCAGTGGAACAGATCTCAGATGGCGTAAGCAGGCATAGTTCCATTGACATCATTGGAAATACACCGATTGATCGCAGACAAGGATGAGGGCCAATAATGTCACAATGGTGTGACTGACAGAGAATCATGATTGTAGCTTGTGAATGAACAAGAAAACAGGTTTAATTGATACTCTGGATGCTCATTATATCACTTAAACTTGCACTCCATGGGGTTGCAAGGTGTAGCAGGAAAAGCAATTAAAAGGAGGGTGTAAAACACACTTTTACCCTTTTCCCAACCAATTTGCTCTCTGCCTGCGAACACTCAAAGGCTATAAATAGGGCTGAGTGAAGTGCACATTAAGCACACAGTGTCTGATTCTGATTTCACACAGGCATACGAGCCTGATCCAAAGTCAACGGAAGTTACTGGAAAGATGTCTGTTGAATTCAGTGAGTTTTGTATCAGATTATTTATCAAGAACCATGACACAGAAATCAGAGGATTACAGTGATGTGAAACTGAGGAACAATCTAGGCCCAGAGCTTTTCTCTCTGCAGGGAAGAGATGAGAATAAGTGTGATGTTTGAGGCATAGAACCAATAAATGATAATTATTTGGCTAAAAAATATAAGGCACTTACCTTCCTAAAGAAGAAAGTTGTTGGGCTAGATCTTCGTCGGCATCAGGGCATCACATGGAGAAAGATGGGAAGAGGAAGCAAAAGGTGGCTGTAAGCCACTATAGTGCTCTTCTTAGTCCTTAGAGTATCAGAGGTCAGTTTTATGCCTCCATACCTTAGAGCAACCTCAGGGCTGCTCTAAATAGCATCCCTCTGCAACAGCCTCAAAGGAACCACACCTGGGATTGCCAGAGTGCATTAGTGCTTCATCCTTTCCTGTCACCTTGACCACCAAAAGGCTTTCTTGCCTCACAGAGGAATAAAGAGACAAGCTGGAGGAGGTAATATCTTTTATCAGACCAGTTTCTGTTGGTGGGAGAGACAAGCTGTTGAGCTACTCCAAGGTCTTCTTCTGGTTCATTCATATGGCTGGTTATCTAGGTTTACGTTAGTGTAAATGGAATCAGAATCCAACCTAAGCCCTGATCCGCCTCACCCTCAGCCATTGTAAATCCATGTAATGCCATTGAAAATAAATGGAGTTACACTGATTTACACCAACAAGGTACCTGGCCCATTAATCTTAGCAGCGTCATTCTTGATTTACACTGGTGTGAGACCAAAACCAAGCTCAGTTTCTAGCTGAGGTGCCATCTGTCAAAAAATAGCCCTGCCAGCCCTCTTAGTGACCCTGTGAGGCCACATCTCATGTGAAAGTTGTAGCCTCAACACTGATGTGCCTCTGTTTGTGTTTCCAAAGCTGATGACTGCCATTTACTGGGCAAGTTACCCAAGGTGAAATGCTTGCGCAACAGACAACGAGAAGGTAAGATCCCATTTGTCAAGATGCAAGTGGATGGTGAGAAAAAGGGAAGTTCACAGAAGAGGGAAAGGGATGGATGTCCAAATGCATTGGCAGGAGTGGCTGTACTGGGGTTAGGTGATCACTGGAGAGGTCTGATGTTTTTATGCAAATATCAGCAACATTTGGCTGATGGGGTAAGAGCACTGATAAAAGGAGATGTTTGAAAGGATCAGGAATTGAAATGAATTCCACACATATACCCAGCACACACATACGCGCGCGCACACACACACACACACACACACACACTCAAAAAGATTGGCCCTATTAAGCTATCCAATGAGGCTCAGCTGCAGCTTATTAGCCAGAAAATTAGAACAGGCAAAACAAAGCCCGGGGACTTCTTTTTAAAACTGTTTGTTCTAATGAAACAGGCAAGATCAGCTCCTGCTGCCTCCTTGGGAATTTTATAAAAATGTAAATTAATTATATTTTAAAGATTAAGATGATCTGTAAGGAGGATGAACGTATGCCCTCGGGGAGCTATTGTTGGTGACCTCTGGATACACTTTTCCACCCAGCCCCAAAATCTGAATGGCTGTTTTCTAATGCTGTTTGCAGTATTAAAGAAAAAAAACCAAACAAATATCAAAAAAAGGTTTTAGCAGCAAGCCAAAGGCATGTGTG